AAACCCCTGGACGACAATTGCTCGGTTCCAGGGATTCAGGGAGCCACCTGGGAGAGGTCCCAGGTTGGACTCGATGATCTTGGAGCTCTTTTGCAACCTTCCTGATTCTGGGATTCTTTTTCCAGTTGGAGCTGCAGCACGTTGGCTTTGCCAGGGCAGCTTCCTTTAGGACAGCCTTGCTGAGAGCTTTGCAGCTGATGCCACAGGGATCTGTGAGGAACAGCCCAGAGCCAGCTGCTGCCTTAGGTGGGGGTGGCTGAGGGGAAGCCCTCCTGTCTGGCCCAAGGCTGTTGCAGGCAGGCAGTGCTGGGGAGGAACACACTGCAGCCTGGCCCCAGGGAGTGACCTCTGGGAGATGAGACTTTTGGGGAGAAATTGTTCCCTGGGAGGGAGGTGAGGCCCTGGCCCAGGTTGCCCAGAGAAGCTGTGGCTGCCCCATGGCGGGAAGTGTCCAAGGCCGGGTTGGACGGGGTTGGAGCCAGCTGGTGTGGGGGAAGGTGTCCCTGCCCGTGTGTTCTGATCCGATTAGGGAGAGATGCCTCAGCCCGAATTCAGGTGTAAATGAGACCATTTGCTGACAACAGGCGGATTTTATATAATACAGATTTTATTTAGCAATAAATTTTTCTAATCTTCTGTCTTCTATAATTCTTATCATCTAACTCAAAGAACCTATCTATGTGTCCTAGAAATCTAATTATTATGATATTTAAATATAGTCTTATCTATCCTATGTAAGTCTATTTTCATAATAAATCTATCTAAATATTATAAAGACATATTTTAATGATTATAAATAAACTAATAAATTACGTAACTATCTTAATTAATTAAATTAGTTAAATTGCTTAACCAATCTTTGGGTAGTTTTTTATATAATCATATTTGTTGTCATCCTGCAGGGAGTTTCTGTGAGCAAGAGGCCCTGTCTTTGCTCATTCCCTGCAGGAGTAGTCAGGTATTTGAATCAGTGCCTCAGGTCAGTGGTGGAGTCAGCGTCTCTTGTAAGCACTGCAGAGGTGTCCGGGCCCGGCCTGGCGCTGGAGCGGGGCCTAATCCTGGGGCTGTCCCGCCGTGCAGGAGCGGAACAGCCTGCGCAGAGCCCCGAGCGCCCGCCTGAAGCGGGAGAGACGTTTGGTGGGTTGAGCCAGCTGGCTGCTGAGGGCCTGGGCCTCCAGCTGGGGAGGCGAGGGGCTGGGGGGGCAGCAGGGGCTGCGTGGGGCAGGGACCTGGCTCTGTGTCCCTGCCCATGGCACCTGCTCTCCGAAGGCTGGAGAAGCTTCAGTCCCTGCGGGGGACAGGGCTTCCAGCTGGGGAGGTGAGGTGCAGAGCGGCACTTGTGTGCACGGGGCAGGTGCCCGGCGCTCAGCCCATGCCTGGCGAGGGACGGGCACTGGGAGCCCCTCTGCTGCAAGAATTCCCAGCCTGTCTTCTGGGCCTTGGCCTTGGGACAGCTCCAGCACGCTCAGTTCTTCCCACTCGTCCTCCTCCGGGAGCAAGGCCTTCACCCCCAAGCTGGGGACGCTCCTGTGTTCCCAGTCCGCCAGTGCCAGCTCTCTGTCGCTGCCATCTTCCCATCGGCACAGCCAGGAGGGTGTGTAGTCTTCCCAGGCGGAAAAGTCCTGGCCCAAGGAGTCTTCATCCTGGCACAGCTCTTGGGCAATGGAGTCCTCCCAGTCGGACAGGAGTTCTTGGGAGTTACTGAATTTTCTTTGGGGCTGCACTTTCATGCTGCATTCTTCCAAGTCGGTCACTTCTGGGGAGCTACTGCCTTTTCCGTGGCATTGCTCTTCCTCGCTGGAGTCCTCCCAGTCGGACAGTTCTTCGTGCCTCTTGACTTCTTGGGACTGCTCTTCCTCACTGTAGTCCTCCCAGTCGGACACTTCTTGGTAGCTCTTCACTCCTCCATGGGACAGCTCTTCCTCGCTGTATTCTTCCCAGTCAGACACTTCTTGGCCTCTACTCTCCTCTCTGTGGGACTGCTCTTGCTCGAGGTTTTCTTCCCAGTCAGACACTTCTTGGTAGCTCTTCACTCCTCCACGGGACAGCTCTTCATCACTGTATTCTTCCCAGTCAGACACTTGGCTGCTGCTCTCTTCTCCTTGGGACTGCTCTTGCTCGAGGTTTTCTTCCCAGTCGGACACTTCTTGGTAGCTCTTCACTTCTCCTTGGGGCTCCTCTTCCTCACCGTATTCTTCCCAGTCAGACAATTCCTGGGAGCTCTTGACTTCTCC